TCTCTCTGCTCTCAACTTTGGTCTTTTCCTGGAAGAGACGTTCACTGTTGAATGTTGTTATGTCTCTACTAGTGGTGTGTAGGTAGTGTGCTATTATTAGCACCCTGTGGTCCATTGAGGTGGGGTAGAAGTCAGGCAGGGATGTCCTCACTATCCTCTTAGAGCTCACACCTTCCATAGTAAGCTCTTTAATCTTGGGGCACAGTATAAAGGATCTGAAAGTCCTTAGTGGCCGTGTATCCTGAGATTTCCCCCTCTTTTCTTGTTTCCACTCCATAATTGCAATGGGTCAAGGGGTGTGGCCTCACGGACCAGGACCTGTCACTTCTGCATTATTGAGATGTGATTAGAGTAGTGTTATATTCTTTTACTGAGATGACTGCTCTTCCTCCCATGGGCATGTGTCACAGAGAGGTGCCATCTCTAGACACCCACTCAGCTCTGTGGTTTTTATGAGCACCTGAGTGATGTGTAAGACAGAGAACCTTTTAATGAGTTTAGATGACCCTTAATTTGAGGCTCTATCTGCCTGATGTTACGTCTGAACTGACTATTAGTAATTCATCAAACATTCTGGCTGAGTTTTCATTACCAATGTGTGGCCTGGCATTCTTCTCATTCTCGATCCCATGGAGGCCACTGTGTTTTCTAGATTCAGATTGATTGATGGCCTTTCAACTTTTTGGGAAAGTTTTGATTGTATACATTGCTGGATTTTTCTTGACTATAGGTAAGGCTCTTTCTCTTAAGTTTTTGCAAATGGAAGCTTGAAAGTTCTGTGTCTATTTTCTAGGTGTGTGTTCTGTTTTCTCATTGCTATGGTGTTAATTGTTCACAGATCATTTTTATTTTAGTATTGACAGATGTCTTAGGTTTGTATTACTCTTACAACACACACTGACCAAAGTCAACTTGAGGAAGCGTTTACTTTAGTGTATATGTGCCAATCATAAGACCCATGAAGGTATACATCAAGGTAGGGACTCAGGGCAGGAATCTGAAGAAAGAACTAAAACAAAGACCATGAAAGAATACTGCTTATTGTCTTTGTCTTTAATGGTTTGCCCAGCCTGCTTTCTTCGTCACCGCAGGGTCATCTGTCCAGTGGTGTCCACTATCTATGGTGTCCTTGGCTCTCCCACATCAATTGTTAACAAAGAAATGGTCTCACAGACTTGCTGACAGGCCAGTTTTATGGAGACATTTTCTCAAATATGACTCCTTCCTCCTAGATATGTTGAGGTGTTTGTCAAGTTGAAAAAATATGCAGTCAGAAATAATATGGATTTATTGATCTTTACTTATATGGTCTGAGTTTTTCAAAGTGGATTGGGAAATTTTCCCTATATTTAACTTACAGATATGTGAATATATCTTTTTCTCAACAGGAAATGAGGTCGTGGAGCAAACTAAAGTTCCTACAGCTTCCTGTGAGACCCTTGTCTCACTGTCAGTGTTTGCTCATCTCCCTTTCTTATACCAGACTGTATGAGTTATACTTTCTCTTACTGCTTCCTGTATCCTGCCGTCAGTCAGTTATTCTCATATCAGCCCATCAAGATAGCCCGGTCTCTACCCAAAGGCCTTAGTACTTGACAGAGAGCATTTCAGTGGAGTAATGGCAGTATTTCATTGTTTGCCTCTGTATTCCTGTCTCCAGATTTCCTCATTACTTTTTATGCTTTGTTCCCCAAGGAATCACTAGTTATCCTCCTAAATATCTTTGCATCTTATGAATGATTCTCTAAATCTTTCTTCTCATTCTATGCAATTTTAGCAAACTTATGCATTATATTGATTTAACCATTAGCCAGTGTTTCCGAATGTGTGTGTGTGTCTACGTGTGTGTGTGTCTACGTGTGTGTGTGTGTGTGTGTGTGTGTGTGTGTATTTTTCTCTAGCCTGAGTCTCTTACTTGAGAATCTATACATTGTGTTTCCACACTTTCTCGTTGTTCCCCCAGGATCACAAGCTTAAATCGAAACCTACTTCTTTGATTAATTGTTGCCTTGTTTGTTCTCTGGAAGCTTCAGTTGTTTACAAATTTAACGTCACTCCTATTTTCACTAGTGCTATTCTAATATGGCACCAAATTCTATCACCAAGACCAGTAATTCTGTGAAAAAACTTCCTTTGAAATTATGGCTGTATTTTTTCTTTCTTTTTTATTGGATATTTTATTTATTTACATTTCAGATGCCATCCCCTTTCCCCATCCCTCCCCCAGAAGCCCCTTATCCTATCCCCCTCCTCTTTCTTGCTTTTTTTTCTTTATCAATATTTTAAGTTAACATACAAAGTACTGAGTTTTATTACAGCATCCTCATACATGTGTCACTAGAGTTGTCTTTCTCTTCCATCTACTAGAATAAATAGCATGGCTCAGTCTCTGTAAACAAATGCTACAGTTTGATACAACTAAATTGTATCATTTAATTGCAAAACAAGTATCTTTATTATACTCTCTGAATGTAATCATCATAAGACCTGACTCATCTATATTTCTTTTATATTTTTATAACTTTAATTAAATTTCAGTGGTTTTTTTTTCTTCTTAGACCTTTATTTTTAAAAGCATTTCTCAGATTTCACAAGGCTACATTGAGAGAAGACAGTGTGGTAGAAAGGATGCTATCTAAAACATGGAACAATGGCTAAGTACACTTACTTAGTGTCATGCCTTGTACTCACTATTCACCATCAGCACTCTTTCTTGACCACAGGATGCCATTTGGTCTGCTTTTCGGTAATGAATGAGCAGTATAATACAGCAGCCTTGTAATGTTAAAGAAATCTCATATTGACCCTTCACTGTGGAAGGTCTCTGCTTTTTCTTATGTGTGGTCAATCTCTTCCTAACTAAGCATAATGCCTTTTAATGACTTTTATGAGCCTTTCAGAGTTTTCATTTTAGTGTGAGGTATGTAAAATACTTAACAATGTTTATTACATAGTCTATGAGAAATGTTGTTTAATTAAATGTAACTTGATAAAGCTATCCATCATTTATCCTCCTCTGGTGGTGGGGGCAGGAGAGAACCAACAGTCCTTTCCAGTGGTTATGTAGTACAACTATTCATGTTATTCATTGCTTTTCTGAGTAACTCTAAAGGACATGAACTGGGCTGAATAGTTGCTATGCTTAAAGACAGATTTTTTTTAAATAATGTGTGGTATGCAGAAACCACCATTTGTGTATGATCAGAAAAGCAGAACCCTTTCAAAAAGGCACAGAACAGAAAGTCAGCCACAGCAGTGGGTAACTTTCCTTGTCACCTGGAAAGTCATTGAGTTTTCTGGAACTTTGCTATTGGTATGGTCTGAGGTGTATACTTCGATCACAAGTATCAAATCTTAAACAATTTATTTTTGTGCAACAAAAGAAGAATAAAAATAGAACCCTGGGCTCAGCAGTAGCACTTGTTATTCCTTTGAATACTGTTTTCCCTTGATGCATTTGTTTTCAGCAGATAGATGATATGGTTCAAATGGGACCATAGCAACAAGAGCTCAGATGCACCTAACTTTATTCTTCTTCTGTCTCTCCCACCACACAAGTCCACATGTACCTGTGCTAGCATTTATCCTATCAATTACTTCACACTTACTGTGATGAGGGGCTATTACATTAAGGGTTCATATTATCTTGTGTGTGTCTTTCAGTATTTTTAAAAATGGCTAATCAGAATTATGGGTTGTGAATTTAATTAAAATATTGTAAGGATGTTGATAAAGTCCTTATCATAATGGTGCCACAGAATTATCAGTTTTGGGGAGACTATGCAATGAGTGTATGTGTATTTATCAGAAAAGAAATATAATTATAATAGCACAAAATGAATGTAGAAATAATTTTCTTAATTAAAAATATTTTTGAAAATGATATTTACAATCTAACTGATGGCAAACGGTCCTTTACTTCAGATAATATTCTCAATGTTAATAACATTAAGAACCAAGTGACTATTTTGTAATACTGTCTAAAGATTCAGGCTGCTTTCTCCATGTAATTGTTACAAGCTGATTTCTAAGAAGTAAAACTGAATCTTAAATGAAGCCACTTTGTTAAGGACAACAAAAAGGTGGCGTGTTGATTTGTGGGTTTTGAGGTCACTTCAATATTCCAAACCAAAGTTGTTGGCTGGTATCTCATTAAGCATCACTGTGTAGACATGTAAAGATTTTTGCACATTTTAATTCAGCTGGTAACTTGATTTAAAACATTGATTTTTTTTCCAATTCATTCTTGGTCATGTATATCAACATGAATTTGTAACTATTTAAAGCTTTCTATAACAGAGTACTAAATTGGGGAGGAGCTTCCTTTTCTTGTGTGGATTTCCTTCAGTTCTCTGTTGCTTTCATTTTCCCTTGAGCTTCATCTTTTGAGAATTATTTTTCGTTTATTTTTCGCACCATACCCTGATCATTAAGCAATTAAATGACTGTCTGACAGGAACAGTAGGAGATTCTGTGGAAAATAATAAGATTGGGAAGGCCCCTGTTCAACTTGTTGGCTTGTCTTAAAAGAAAAACACATGCCAAATTATGGTTATGTGGTCATGACTAATTCTCTGACAAGAGCACAGAGGAACATAAGGCAGGTAAAGGGAGATTCCAGTGGAAGGAGTCACAGTGATGGTGGCAATGCAGGCACATTCCTTGACAGGAAGCTGCCTGCTCCTGCCACCTACTCTGGTGCACATTAAGTTAGCAACCCTATATCTATCTTATAGCTCAGAAAATTAAACTGAAGGGATGAATATCCCTTTCTGGAAATTTAGAAATTTCCCATATGACTCCAATAATTTTCTTGAAAACAGTAACTTAGCCTAGGGCTTCCAGTGTTCTTCCCAGCTTGGTTCTGAAAGTGTCACAGGGCTGGGCACAGAGGGAAGGTAATTTGAAACTCTTTTTATTTTCTATATTGATTCTTAGCTTTGAATTGAGATTAAAAAAAAATAGCAGCAATGTTGAATATTGATATTTTCTATGTGCAGAATTTCACAGTGGACTATTAGATCGTTAATGTGAAGATATACCAACGTTAAGCCAGAACTCGTTATCGGGTATCATTAGGAAAAGACACCGTGGAGAAGAAGTCAGTGGTGAGGTGGATCATGGAAATCAAAGAGGAAGGAACATCAGAAGAAGGCCAGCATTTTCTTCCTGCAGCTCAGGCAAATGACTCTGAGGACATTCAGTTTACCAGTAAGTGTGTTTGTGTGTGCGTGTGTGAGTGTGTATGTGCTTCCCATGTAGGTCTCTAAAGAGCCACTTGCCACTGTGTTAACTAAACAAATATCCTTGTGTGTTCACAGAAACCTGAGTTCCACCAAATGCCATGAGATTACCTCAGTTCTTTCCCATCTCCTCTCTGTGCTTTGGGTTGTGCATGCCCAACAGTCCTCTCATCTTTTATCTTGGGTGAGACAGAGGATAGGTCATGAACCAGCATCAAATGATAAAATTTCCAATGTGTATTAAATGCTGATAAATACATTTTATGGGCCCTATCCAGATGCTAATCATATTGAAGAAGAGCTCCCATTTGGTACTTATTTATTCTTATAGATAATTAATATTTTGGAAGCTAGACATTTTTAAGACCAAAAGGTATTTAAGCTGAAAGCATTAGTGAAAAATGTTCACAAGAAGCTTTGCCTTGCGGCTTTAGAAGAGGCCACTAATTCACATAACAGAGAAAGCTTAGAGATTTGGCCACGATTTACATCTGAACATTGGAATCAGTTTTTGTCCTACTCATGTAATTAAGAAGTGTAAGAGAGTGCTATGCTTTTTCTCCTGCTTAAATTATAGGGTTTCCATTTGTTCTTTAGAATCAACTGTGTCCTTTCTTTCAGAGTGTTCCTTTTATCCATCTTTTAATACTAGCAAATATGTGCCTAACCTCATTAAATTTATAGCTAATGGTATTGGTTGGGTGCATTGAATTTGGTGTCAAAGATTAGCGCAGAGTTAATTATTAGTATCAAAAACAAAAACAAAAAACCAACCAAAACAAATGATTCTAGCCTCTATTGCATAGTCTTACATTGTTAACAGAAGCATTTTTAAATGTCAGCAGGAGAGAAAAAATAAATGATTGCTGTTCAAAAGCAAAACCAAAACAAAAAATGCTAACTCTGTAAATAAAATAGGTATTCTATTTTATTTTAAATTGTTTTAAGAATAGCTTATTGACTAAATGTCAGTTAATTTAAATGGTCTTTGAGTAATACATAATCAAAGCTAGGAGCTTTACATTTACTGTCAAGTGGCATAATCTCCTGTATGTTTTACTTTTATTTTGGCTACTTATGAATTTTAACAAATGACATGTCATTCATTCACACCGTCCCCTATGCTTGCTGGGGTTTCTGTTGAGTATCTACCTCCTACAATGTGTTACTGAAACCTGATCATTCTGCTTCCTAAGAGTTACTCACATTTGTAGAAACCTGTTCTGAGACCTGCTTCCGCACTCCTGCCTCATCTTAACTCATTTTATATGATGTCTTCTTTTTGAAATATCACTGACAAAAGGAGAAGTATTTGGATTTTTTAAAACAAAATCCCAATCATTTTATTTTGCCAAATGAAGACTCAGGAACCAGATGCTGGGCTGAAAGCCTGCTAGCACAGAGAGGCAGAGAAAGTGTCCAGCTGTCCTAACTCCTCAACAGACCTCCCAGAAGGAAAGAGCCAGTTTTTCCTTCTCCACACTGTCTTAGAAACTGTTGTAACCAAATGTCCCTCCTTTCTACTTCTGGTTTGTCTCTCTATTCATCCCAATTTCCTTTCACTTTCTATCAGTTTTTGTCCTATGCTCACTTCCTGTCAACTGGTTGCTTGGCCTGCCTCTTGACCTGTGGTTGACTTTATTTCATCTTGTCTGCAATAGACAGAAAGCTCTGGATTAAAGGTGTGTGCTAGGGCTGAGACACACCACAAGTAGAAGCAGGGTTTTCCAGCACACAATTTCACAGTGTAATCAAATATCCTGTAGCACTCTGCGATTCAAAGTGGGTGCTATAGCTCAGCCATGCCACTAGAGACATGATTTTCTAGTGTACAGTCTCAGAGGACCACACTATGATCAGATATCCTGCAACAAGTATTGAACAAAATATTGTTGAAATAGCCAATAAGCAAAATTATCAACCCCATACCCGTGCCTACTAGAACTTGGCTTCTTAATTTCCACCGAGTTTACAATGAATAGCGTGCCTTCACCAGAGAATTCATAATGATTAGCCAGATAATTTAACTTTATTCATTCTCCCAAAAATGTATGTACATATTTGGTTTGGTGAAACAGTACATATGCGATTGCAGTATTTATAATGAACAATTTTAAAATCTAAACTTATCCCTACTATTTATAGGCTTACAGAAGATTCCCAATGAGCCACAGTTGGAATTCATTCTCGGTAAGGAATTCTACCTTATTTATAGCAATCAGTAGAATGAGAATTTGCACAGACATTTGCAAATTATGGTTGTATTATTTGTATCATTATATTTTACTTTATAAAACATTGTTCTAGTAAAAATCTTTCCACAACGTAGTAATTGTTTTCCTGAACTAGTACTGATAAATAATCTGGGTTGCTATCTAGACCCATTTGGTGCCACAATAGTGTATATTTTCTTTTGAACTAAGCTTTTTAAATTAGCACATGCACATTTTCAAATTGGTACCTTGAGATAAGATATATTTTAAATGCCAGTAGAAATATTTTCTGTAGTTTAGGAGATAGGTTTCAAAATATAGATATACTTACCTAAGTTTTAGTGATTTGAAGTCTTAATTATTTTAGGTATACACACTTTTATTAATTATATAGCAAATTTGTAACCTGTGGACAATGTTTTTTATATTGAGTATACCTTAATGAGATAATGATTGCATATACTTAATATTTGAGCATCCTATTTTGTTGTATTTTGCTAAAAGGATATATGGAAACTAAACATTCTGGGTTGGAATTTCCTAGGTATTGAGAAATAGGCAAACTTGTGAAAACTCAAGAAATACTCATGAAAAAGGTAATAAAACTTACTTTGCTTCCTTAAGTTTTGAGATGATTTTGAGCATAAAAAAGAAGTTGTTTCCAGGAAGCAGGTGAGAGCTAAAGGAGGTGATCTTTCCTCAGCACCCTGAGGAGAATCCAGTACTTCTTGAGCATCTATCTACGTTCCATTTGAAATTAATTTTACAGAAAACAAAACTTTTATTCTGGGCTTTCTAGAAAGATAAGAGTAGTTAGAAACATTCATATTTCAAACTACAAATAAAGTCTTTTTATTACACACAGGAAAAGGGGAAACTGATGGAAACAGAGCTTTGGAATTAGAGAGAGAGAGAGACATGAAGACTAGTTTACAAGGGACAGCTTACACAAACAGATATCTGCTTTTAATTTAAACTAAAATTAGTGTTTTTTTCAAAGCCAACTGTGTTATTTAGTACAAAAGCCCAGTTTAATAGCATATCTGTCAAGTTCAGTAGCAACTCTGTTGTCTCTTATACTTCGAGTTTTGAAATATGGAAGAGAATCACAGCCATTAAAATTCATTTACAATTATGTCCAGTTTAAATAATGTCCATTTCTTTTATCCTTATATTCATTCAAAAACAGAGTAATATTGTTAAAGATGGTTAATTTTATGTTATCAAATAGCAGGAAATGCCTGATAACAGAACACACATTTATCAAAGATACTCAGTATAGAGGGAATTGGAGATTTAGAAGATGAATGTTACAAACCAGCAGCTTCACAGCTTGTGAAAATTCCCAACACTCACACTTCTTACAGAGCTTGTTTTTTACTGTCCCATCAAGGATATCATAAAGACCCTTGCCTGCAGTGTATTAATCTGTTAATTTCCTCCTAGAGTATTTTTTTTTAATTCCAAAGATTCTTTGGCTCTAAATATATCGTTAACTATTCATTTTATAGTGAATAAGATAATAACAATTCTCAAAAGTCTTTGTTTTTATTTAAGAAAATACATAGTTACTTAATTAAAATAAAAAAGGACAAATTCTAGAACAAAATAGAATATTTAACAAGAGAGGAGAATGTAGAACAATATAAAATACAGAACAAGAAAGGAGACCTTTTCCATATTCTAATATTTTGATATTTGATTCACTACCCTTATCCAAAATGTTGAACTAACTTGGAAATTTCAAGAGCTTTGCTTTCTGAAGTGGGAAAGCAGTCCCACTTATTATCTAGACAGGTGATTTACTGGTTTGCATAAGTTATTTTGTGTGAAAACTCGTTCCTCAGTGATGTCTGTGTTGGTGTAATTTCATTTTATTTTTCTGGAATTTCCCTGCTACATCTTTATTCAGTAAATGAGGTTGAAGAATCTTAGACAATCAAGCAAGCTAATTGGCTAAAGACATCTTGATAGAGCTAGCTAGGAATGCTCTGAGAAAGCACTCTGTCCACCACTAACCACATATCTACTGGGTGACTGGAGCTAAATGAAGTAATTTACCCTTACAACTGGAAGACTGCAAACACATTTGTTTCCTTGTCTTCCCCCATGTACAGCAGTCCTTTATTTTTACAAAGAAAAAAATTAAAAATCTCAGGGAATGCTGATTTTATTAAACAGTTTTAAAAAATTGTTTCTGGTTCAGCAATGCTAATATGCACACACACACACACACACACACACACACACACTCACACACACAAAGGAGCATTTTTAAAATTTTGGGCATATGTCCTACCTGAAGACAAATAGTGGAAAAGGTTTAATAGAAAAGTCTACATACTGTTTAACTTTATTCTCCAAGTATGCTTAAATATTTTTTGCTACTTATCTCTAGTCAATAAATTGCTTCTTAAAACATGATTTTATTATTGAGAATGGTGACCCATATCTTCAATCTCAGTACATAAGGAAGAGACAGGCAGAACCTTATCACAGACTGGTCTATATAGTGAGTTCTAGGCCATCCAAGGCTACATAATGAGACCCTGGCCTAAGAAAAACAGGTGGAGCTGGTGAGATGTTTCCTGAGTTAAATGTCCCAGCTGCTTTTGCAGAATACCTGGGGTTCAGTTTGCAGCTCATGGATATCAGCTAACAACTATTTGTAACTCCAAGTCCAGAGGATGTTACCCTCTTCTGGCATCTGCAGACACTAAATGAACACGAGTACAGATATATACACAGTCAATATGATGAAATACATAAAAATAAATAGAATTTTAAGAAACAATATATGTTATTTCATATGCAGATGATGTATGTTATAATTTAAATCAATAGGCATCAATGTCTAGAAGTGCATAGAAGAACAGCAAGTTTAGTTTTCACGTGATCTTTGAGTTCTTTGCTTGACACTATAAAGTCATGTATGTGAACCTAATTTATCTCAATGATGGATTTTCAGTAGCAGCCAACTGGACAGAAACAAGGCACAAAACATGATTCATAAACCTCAGCAGGCTTTTGTTATAATAGGATGGAGAGGTGGAAACTGGAGTGAACTCACAAGAGCACTCCATTCAGTGTGCTAGCCATAACTAGCTCAAAAATGAGTATTTACAACCAGTGTCAAGTCCCATATAGACAGAAAACCCAGGCAACTGGGAAGAGCCTATATGGAAGAAGGCAGTTTACTTAGGGAAGAGGAATTTTCTTAAACATATATTTCAAAGAAGCCTCTAGGAACACAAAGGTACAAGTCTAAAGTCTAGATGTATATTTGGAAATTGTCTTCGTGAACTGAAGACATTGGTGACTTTATGAAGCAGGTAATGAAGAAATAGATGTTGGAACAGCAGTCCTGTGGTTCTTATGATGAGAAATGAGGACTAAATGACTGTCACTAGCTTGAACAGACAGGAAAACAAGTGGCATGCTAATGGAGTTCTGAGACAGAATGTACTACACAGGGGTTAGGAGATAGTGAAGGACCGTTAGCTTGGGCACTGGAATGGCAAAGTAGAGCAGAAAACTCTGTAGGTTGCATAGATGTTGAGCCAGGAAGGTCCTACTCCTGGGCCTCTTTCATTCTTATTTAATCCCTAACCTTCTGGAAAACAGAGAGAGGTGCCACAACTGCCTACTGTGGAGAATCCAATATATAAGGGGTGGAGAGAAATGGGATTTGAAGCTTGTTGATTACTAGAACTTCTGCCTTTGTCAAGCCATTTTGATTTTTAAGAATCAACTCTATCAAGACTTCTAATATAGATGTACAGGTAAACATTCCTGCCACCAAACATGATGACCTGAGTTTCATCCCCATGACCTACATGGTAGAAGGAAAAAATAAACTCAGGCAAGTTGTCCAGCTGAGCTGAGCACACACACATTACCATGAGAATGCACACACATACAGGCCCTCATATACACATAAAGGCCCTACTTTAGAAGCTATGCTTACCCTAGGAAGTGAAATAGTATGTAAGAAGTCTATGTATACACAAGCCCATTGTGTATACGTGTTATGCAAATGATGCTTAAATTCAGTTCTATTATAACATTCTCTTCTGGTTCGATGACAAGATGTCCTTCAGTACATTACTTACTTCAAATGTCACAGCAACTTAGATCAGGAGAGATTATGATCTCTTTGACTATTGAAGCTTTGTCCAAGAAAATACAGGTGTAAAATATTTCCTATATATTGTCATATATCAGATCATGTTCACAGATTTGGGATTTTTATAGAAAGAACAATTATATTTCTAAGTATTCAATTAAGAAGAGAAGACAAAGCTGGGCGGTGATGGCGCATGCCTTTAATCCCAGCACTTAGGAGGCAGAGGCAGGCGGATTTCTGAGTTCGAGAGTTCGAGGCTAGCCAGAGAAACCCTGTCTCGAAAAAACCAAAAACCAAAAAAAAAAAAAAAGAAGAGAAGACAATTAAGATCTGTTGTCAGTGCTCAGAGTATGAGAATATATAAAACTGTGCCTAGCATGACAGGCTGCTCAAGAAAAGCAGGCTCATCTATTAAAAAACATAGACACATACAAGGACTTCACTAATCCTCATACCAAGCTCATTCATTCCCTGTAAGTGCCCAGAAATCAGGAATTGTTTATAATTTCCATGAAGAGCATCTTAGAAAGCCTAACTTATATTTCTGCCATAGTCTTACTTTGACTATCCCCGGCTTGCTTTCGGTAAATGGTTATAAAGCTCAAGTGTTTGTAAAGCACAGTGGAAAAGTTCAAACATTTAATGAATTTTGATCTCATAATAGTGTTTTGATCTCTTCAATGTATGCCAGAACAGATGAAAGGATTTCTGAGCAAAGAAATATGTTTTTAAGATTTAATACAGTGACAGAAGCATGTCTTCACTTTAGTGGCTACAAGACGATCTTCAGAGGGATGAAAGAAGCAAAGACTGCAGAAGAGGCAAGATTTTCATTGCAGTATTTGCTTTCT